TATGATAAGCTTAACTTGATCTTTGAAGAATCTCACATGAAAAACAAAAATATATTTTTTTTCTAACTAGTAATTAAAGATGTTTTTAGAAATAGTTGAAAATGTTTTGTGGTAAAACAAGACAGCTTTGGATACCCGTGTTGTAGTAACATTGCATGTATGTTGTTTTGATAGCTAGTCACATTTGTCTCGGCAGCTTGTCAAACAGTTATGTACACTGTACTGCCACATGTCTGTGTGTGTGCTAGTGATGTATTGTACAGTTGGCAATTTTAACATTTTTATCTTTGAGTAGGCTTGTGCTTTCTGAGATTATACATCAGATCGAACTACATTTTTCATTGTAAACTTATTACAATGTTATATGTTTAAATCAATTGATGTTATTTTTACATGTTTTGTGATGTTTGTTCTGTCAGTATTTTAAAGTTTTTGTTGGTGATACCCAAATGTGTATACAGAATGTGGTAAGATTAAAACAAAATTGTGAAGATAATGTCTGTTTTATTATTGACTAATTGCCTGAGAAATGCAATATCGAAGCTTTTCACATAACCCTTGGAATAAAGTTTTAAAAGAATTAAACAATATATCCCACACATCGCAGGAAAAAATATAATTGGGATTCCTGATCGATACATACAAAACTTTACAAAAGGCAAGGTCCATCTCATGTGATCTTAATATAGTGTGTGTTCTGTAGACATTAACCAACAATTGAATCAACCTTTATAAAATAAAGAATAATTGGAATTTGTGCTATTGTAGCTATAACAAGGTACATCCACTCTACTGTCAATAATCCTTCCTCTTTCTGCTATAACAAGGTACATCCACTCTGCTGTCAATAATCCTTCCTCTTTCTGCTATAACAAGGTACATCCATGCTACTGTCAATAACCCCTTCCTCTTTCTGCTATAACAAGGTACATCCACTCTACTGTCAATAATCCTTCCTCTTTCTGCTATAACAAGGTACATCCACTCTACTGTCAATAATCCTTCCTCTTTCTGCTATAACAAGGTACATCCACTCTGCTGTCAATAACCCCTTCCTCTTTCTGCTCTAACAAGGTACATCCACTCTGCTGTCAATAACCCCTTCCTCTTTCTGCTCTAACAAGGTACATCCACTCTGCTGTCAATAACCCCTTCCTCTTGGTCATTGTTATGAAAATCAGGTATCTGATGTTAATTCATATAGAGAACTTGTGGACAAGTGAATACCAGCCAATTATAGCAGGTTGTTACAAATTGGCTCCAAATGTTTGTTAGTGGAATGTGGAACTGCTTCCAAACATCTGAACAAGGCACACCATCATTCATACACAAGCAACCATCTATATATGTATGTCTGTCAGTTCTGGCTTTCAACAGGGTACAGGCTCCAAATTGAAAATGAGATGCTTGTAGCCACAATTGGATGCCAGTGTACAGGTTTCTAGAAACAGACTTTACATGACCAGCTTGTTTTGTGTCATATTACATACTCATAAGGCATTGAAACAGTGATGGTGTCATCAACGTGTCTAATGTAATAACATGTAGGGAAACATTATCTTTATAGATAAGTAATGTTTCACTCTGTGGCCGAATAACAGGTTTCTATTCATTTGAATAAAATGCAACAAATTTAACTCATTTTCATGCAGGAATGTGACATGCTTGGTGGTGAAAAATGGTATGAACAGGAATAAGCACTGGTGGAAGTAGAGACCTCTACATCTTGCAAAATAGTATTACAGTTGAGTCAATAACAAAAGTTATAGTAACACTTTATAGTACTATATTCTGGTAAAAGTTGATGATGACAACCCCACCTTGTTAAAGAAAATAGCTCTTTTTTTAGAGAAGAGCTTGCAGGTAATTAAAGGATGCTGGCAAGGTTCTTGTAGAATACTGTGAGATGGCTCAACTTTTAAATGTTCTTTTCTGTTTTTACAAAAGGACATTCTGTGGGAAGTATTTGGATCAACTTGTAAGTATATATTAGTATCTTGAAGGTAAGTATAAAGATTGGTAGATTAAAGATAAAGTCTTCCTGGGTTTTAAAGTAGGTCAAAGTTGAGAAAACTGAGCTTCTCTCTTTCATCGTTAGTATATAAATAAAGGTGCCTGACAATCGGAAAATTGTTAGTTATTCTTATTTTTAAAGAAGGGGGGGGGGGAAGTGGTCAGTGTTGCCCTTTAAGTAATAGACTAATTAGTCTATTTTAGTAGTGACAAAAATTCTAGATAGTCTTGTGAAAGCTCCTAACAAATCATGTAGTGTAATATAACAGTGAATCTATGCTGATTTATTAATAAACCTCTCGACTTTCAGTCATAAGTTCTTAAAATTAATGTAAACCACTATACGCATTATTTATTACTTTCTGCAGTAATTCTAAAAACAGAAGTGTAAAACAAACACATTTTATCTCTAAGTAGGACTGTCAGCAACCCTAGTTATTATATAATTTTATTATTTCCTATTTATTGTTTTGTGTGTTCATGGGCATTTTTTTTGTTTGTACCATGAAAACATTTATGTATCCAACCAGGCACACCTTTTACAAAACATCTGGTTATTAATTGTCATACTTAAGTTATATAATGGGGAAGGTGTATAGTTTCTTTGGTGAAGTCCAGTGTCAGAGAGAGAGAGCCAGTTTCCAAAGAAATATACATCAATGACTGCGAATTAGGATTGGATCTAGTAGTTATGGGTTTCCTAACTAAGGTACGCTATTTTGTTTATTCATTGTTAGTTTCATTAATGATATTGGTACACTAATTACTATATCAAATATAATTGCTTATTTTATTCTAATATGTAGTTAATTATTAAAGTTGTATAATAAAGATTATCTTGCTTAATTAACTTAGAATTTGTACTTATGTCTAACCTAAAACTTCTAAGCTGGCTGAACCTTGCGAGATATTAATGGATTTGCGACCAAAAATATTGTTAACAATAAGGGTCCCCAACTGACGAAATAATGCATTCTAAGCATTGTAAGTAGAAACATAAGTATTAGCTATACTGACGGTCAGGTTAATTTTTAGTTACACTTTAAGTATATATCACTCTGCATATGGAAGCACGTTATGCTAATATATTAAATTAGCATAATGAAGTGATTTATTTTGGGGAAACATTCTACATTACAGAGTGACTTGGATAAATTTGTTACTCAAACATATATAACCTTTAATCTTATTATGTTAAGATAATGAACTTGGGTTGTCATATTTTGGACTACACGTTTTATAAGAATGACAAAAAATAGGATCTAGGCCTGGTGGTTAGGGCAACAACTCCTGGGTGCAAATCATGTCATTGAACATGCTCACCTTTCAGCTGCAGGGGGCATTATGATGTGATGACTAGTTCCACATTTAATTGGTACAGAGTATTGGTATTGACTAATTTTCTTTCCTATCAATTCTAAATTAAGGACGGCTCGTGCAGATATTCCTCCAACAAACACGTGTCTTAAACCACTGAAATAGTGCCCTGTTCCTAATGGAATTTTAGGATGTAATTATCTTTATACAAATCACCAGTTAGGCCTCACTTGGAATACTGTTTACAGTTTTGGTTTTCTTATTGGAAAAGGTATATGGGAAGTTTATAGAATGAATCCGAGGATGGGTTAAGTGCAGATCTCTTAGTTTTTGCTGAGAAATAGCAGGGTGATTGACTTAACAAATGAGTTTTTGACACTTTACAAGATTTTAAAGGGGAATCAATCATTTTCTGAAAAGTAAAAAATGGAAGTACACAGGGACATCCTTGAAGGATCAAACAGTCCCTTGTTGTCTGTTTAGTTTTGAAGAACATGTTAGAAAAAAGTTTTGTTACCAATGTTCCAATTTTTTTAACGAAACAATATGCATGCTAAGTTAAATTATTATAGAATTCATATATAAGGCTCTGTGTAAAATTTTATTATGTACTTTATTCTTTAAAAATAACTAAGTTCCATATTTCCTTGTGTATTTTTAAATGTTACTATATCCGAGTTTTAGGTCTTACTAGAAATAGTCACCCGAAATAAAATGGGTTTTTAAGCAGCTTTATTTAGTTTCATAATTAATGAGCTAATGTTAAGAATTTTAGCTCAATTTTATATTTTCCTGAGGTAAAAGATTTTAATGCATTTTCACCTCCTAATTATTCATGACTTTTATATACAGACAAGTTCTGAGGGAAATGTCACGAAGATAAATGTACAGTTATGATACATCTACAATTCTCTCATCACCAATATTCAAAATAAATTAATGATTATTATATGTTAAATACGTATCAGTCATGTCTTGATTTTCTTTCAACAGAAACAGTCCAAATGCTGGACAAGCCATTTAGGTTTACATTTAATAATCGCATGTAGAATTTAATAGCTACTTGTTAATGTATTTTATATAGAACTGTTTGTGTCAGATTTCCTTCTGTTGTTATATTACTGCCCTCTAATGTGCAGTGTAGAAGATAATCAGATTAACTCCATTTATCACTGAATACATGAAAAACTATTTTTATCATCACCACCATAAATTGTCTAAAAGTATAGTAATTTATATTTGTTACAAACAAACAAAAAAACGTTGATAACTAATTTAAGTAGAAAACCTATAGCTACAATTGTAACGTGTAAAGACAATGCTGCCTTAAATCTTGTACGTAGACCATTGTTTCTGAAGAGAACAACAAAATCTCAGCTAAAAACTAGATATTTAAAGTTTTTATTGTGTAAATATAAAACGTTTTTAATTATTTATTATAATTTAAAAAACTAAAAAATTTTGATTGTTGTGAATCTGCTCTTTTTCACACTAAACTTACCCAATACTATTGTTTCTGTTAAACTGAAGTCCCTTTCTAGCCCAGGTTAGCAGCACAAACAATCATATCTTATAGGAAAGTTATCAATGTACCCTTTGTAATTTTTTTACATATTAAAAAAGTTTTGATTTGTGTTATAGAATTCACACAGAAGAAACTACAACGTGTATGTTTCTAAAATGTTTTTCTTGTATAAAGAAAATAATACAGTAGAGGAACAGCATCACATGTGGGTAATATGACAAAAGAACATTTAATATTTCCAAAATTTTTAAATGCAAGTCTCAGTATGTGTAAGGTGACAACTTATGACTGTATCTAACTTGTTGGTCAATCTTTCTTTTTTTCCCATATTTATGGAAGATGTTCAAAACTATTTATCATTCTTAAGCCACGGTCAATATACACACTGGGCATTTGCTATTTACTGATCAGGTCCTGGAAAAAAAAAAGATTTATCAGAATATATTTACATAGTTTTAGAGTCATTTTTAACTTGGCATGTAGTAACTTAATTTACATGTGTGAATAATAATATGGCACTGTGCACAATTTAAACATTACCATTATATGAGGCCTAACTGTATTTCATTCGGTTTGCACACCCAATCAGTACCAATGACCTAAGAATAGGTAAAACTACAATCCACGTTAGGCCTCTACTCAATTTTCCTAAGATTAAAGTCATTATACTGAAAAAATAAAGTTTAACTTGCTAGTTGCCATCAGTGCTAGTACAAATAATGTTTTTTAACTAAATAGAATAATATATAATACAACTTAAAATCATCTTGTATTCATTATATGATTTGACAGAAATAAAAATATTATAGATCAGTCAATGGTGCTCTTCTCCAGTAGCAAGAAAAGCCCCTGTTTTAATTTATGGGTTCACCCTCTCTGTAACCAAATTCTAAGTATATATATATATGTACTGACTGAAATAGTTATTAATTTCACCTTTTCATAATTAGTTTAGAATATAGTTCTGATAACATATATTCAGGTGCAGGTTTAATGCATTTTTGTTAATCTGATGTCAAAAGTTTGTAAACATGTATTAATCCTTTTACTCAGGTAAAGTTGCATATCCTAAGAGACAAAAATTTGCATCATTTTGGCTCTGTTTGTAAACCCTCAAAGGATAGTTAAGACAAATAATGTCCGAATTTCAATGATAAATGATAATCCTTTTCATCTTTGTCCAGTGTGGATGTTTAAAAATGAAAGCATTCCTCTGAACCCCAACAGAAAACTAAGCATGAGGACTTACAGAATTATGGTAAATAAAGATTGTTATTTTTCTCATCTGGTGTGAATGTACAATTTATTATATACATAACATTTCCAGAATCTGCATGTTAAATATACTTTTAAACTCATCTGCTGAGTATTAGTGAACCTGACACCAAATATGGCTTTCTTCACTGTTCAAATTTTGAGGTTCACCCTGCCTAGAATAAAAAAGGCTAGGTATACAATTCTTTCCCTAATGTCGATACCAGTTTCTGCTCTTCGGTACATCAAATGAAAAATTTTAAAACTGTCTAAAAGAAGCAAACTTGGACTTGGAATACATAATAAATGTATGTGAAAAAATGATGTAGGGGTTGAACAAAAATACAACCTTTTTTTTGAAGTGTAATTTTACTCGTATTACCTTCACAAATATATAACCAACCCGGTCTATCCTATACATAACCAACTCGGTCTACCCTATACATAACCAACCCGGTCTACCCTATACATAACCAACCTGGTCTATCCTATACATAACTAACCTGGTCTATCCTGACTTTGAGGATTTTGATTTCCCATCTGTCTCCGTAACTGTTCAACAAGTTCAGGATTTGATGCTTGCATTTGAGCTGCTAATTGCTGTCCACTAATGAAAAGCATTGAATCAATACATAATATTAAAGTCATGAAACATTTATTTAGGCTTAGTCTAATATGTTAATTACAAAAAATAAAAGCTCTAAAGGGGAAAATAAAAAGTGGTAAACAGAACAAAGTACAGATCTTATAATACAAGAACCTTGGTTTGTTACTTTTATAATAAAATAAAAAAGTGGTAAACAGAACAATAAAGTACAGATATTATAATACAAGAACCTTGGTTTGTTACTTTTATAATAAAATAAAAAGTGGTAAACAGAACAACAAAGTACAGATATTATAATACAACAACTTTGGTTTGTTACCTTTATAATCTACGAGGATTTACCAGCAAGCAATAACTAATATTATTGATAAAAAAAATAAAGCAAACTGCAGAAACCAATTAACTTCTTCAAATATAACACATCTGTTTGAGATGATAAAGTTAATAAAAGTACTTTCTATAATTCTTTAAATTTGCTTTGTTATTAAGCACAAGGCTACACAATGGGATATCTGTTCTATGCCCACCATAGGTACAAAAACCCAATTTTTACCATTATAAACCCTCAGTCAATGCAATACTTCAAAACTGATCTCACAAATGGTTAAGAAGAAGTAACATTAAATACTCATCTAAACGTTTATATATTTAGTTTGTTAAAATAAAACATTTCATTTTTCTGACACAATCAGCAAGATGAAAATCTAAAATTAATTTCAACATTTGTTTTTTTTGTCCTGGACAATTTGATTTGTGCATTTTTGAAGTTTAGGAAACTAATCGTAGTTACACCTTCCTACTGTAAATTATGGTGGACATATGCTAAGCAATATATTAAAATTATGTAAATCCTCAAATAACCTTGTGGATTTTAAAGTTTTCCCAATTCTCCTGTAAATGACTATAAAAATGTATATTTGATATACAGAAAAACTAAATAATATTGCATCACTCCAGACTTCAAAGTTGCAGTAAGTTACACAAATTTTAATGTTACCTATAACAGAAAATGAACAAATATTTTTTTTTTGTTTTAAGAATATTTATAAAAAAATTATTAATTTTATCTCTTACGCTTGTAATAGCGCCTCCATTCCACCTCCACCCTGACTCAGTGATCCTTGCATCAAATTACTCATCCTTAAAATCAGAAACAAAATAACCAATAAAAAAAATGGACATTTACAAAAAAAAATTCTAAATGTAACTAATTTTAATAGAAAATAAATGTTATTAAAAAATTCGTGTGTGAAGTGTAAGTAATGCCATCTTGATGCTTGAGAGTTTTGAGTATCATAACCTGCGACTGATTTTATTATGTGTGTAAAAATTTGTAATTTAAATAATTAAATTACATTTACTTCTGAATAACCAATATAACCACAATTTCTGAAGTGTGTTGGCCAAAGAGACAGGGTGGGGCAATAGCAGCTAATACAGTAGGTAACGTTGACACTAAACAAAGTATTAAAAGAAAAACTCAAACCAATTCAACTTTCTCGCTATGGGCTCAGCCGAGTTCATGAACCCAAATTGGCCTTTACAGTTTCTATACTATAACTTCTAACATGTTTTGTGTATCTTCATGAAATTTTGCAAGCTTTCAGTAATCATTAAGTCATTTGTAGACAAAAAAAAAATCAGAATTTTTGATAAAGTATTTTCACTTAAAATTTATCCACGAATATATGGAGTCAAAGTGTTGACTGCCCCGAGTGCAAAATGCTAAGATTAAAAATTCTTCATCTAAAAAATCTCAAACTTCATCTGTATAATCTCTTAAAACCTCCTAAATAAAAGTCAAATGTTTTATTTTCACTAAAACTTTATTATATTTGTTAATTTCTCTACTCTAACTCTATACAAGGTTGGTCAATTTGACCGACCTCATAACCACCATAAAAAAACAAAAAAATCTAAATTACCTTTTTTTTCCTTTCTAGAATGACTTCAAATTGTAACATGAAACTACATTTGTTTATACTTAAGTTTTATTGTTGCCCTTTGAACCATGTGGTGAACATGTAACTCACATTACCTTATTAAATTACATAACACATGGGCTACTCATGAGTTGCTCACGTGCATACCTCGTGAAAATATTTATTATTATTCTTTGTCTAATTTAAAAGTTCCTAATTTTTACATTTTAGTTACTTTTATAATAATAAATAAATAAAGAATACATATGAAAAACAAGAAATAAAGTACTTACCTTGGACTTCTCTTTTTTCCTATTGACTGCCGATGACACTTAACCCTAATATTCTTTTTATACTGATGGTACAACAGCACTAAATTCTTTATTTAATGAAATAATGTACCAAAGAATACAAAGTAATTCCATTTAATCTCCAATAACTATCACAATTTTTCTGGCTTTCTAACAATACTACAAGAGCCATTAAAAATTTAGCTAAGCATGACGTTGTGTTTTCTATGGGAATAAAGTTTGAACTAAAAGCGAAATACAATTTTCTGTAGAAAACATGTCATTCTATAGATGAAAACTTTGGCTTTCTATTGGTTATAAGTGATATAGTATTAAATGTCAGAGAGAACTATTTGCAATTTATGAAAGAGAGGATGTGATTTTCTTGTTTATGGCTCTGTAACCAAATGAGTTTGTTTAGTTTGCTTTGAATTTTTCGCAAAGCTACAAGAGGGCTGTCTGCACTAGCTGTCCCTAATTTAGCAGTGTAAGACTAGAGGGAAGGTAGCTAGTCATCACAACCCACCGTCAACCCTTGGGCTACTCTTTTACTAACGAATAGTGGGATTGACTGTCACATTATAATGCCCCCACGGCTGAAAGGATGAGCATGTTTGGTAGGACCTCGATTCTAACCCGTGACCCTCTGTTTGCGAGTTGAGTGTCCTAACCACCTGGCGGACCAACCAAATAAGATTGAAGGCTATAAAAATTATGCTTTGCTGAGTGATGACAACATTACAATGAGTAATTTATTGTAAATTTCATACTTCTTTGAGGGGTAGTAAATAAATTAGAAAAGGGAGGATACCTAGCGAGCAAATGTCACAATTCTTATACTAGGGGAAATTGAGGATTTTTTAAAAATATTGACTTATAAAATTAAGAACTAAAAACTTATATGAAATAACATTTGGATTATTAGCTATGTTTGATGATAAGTGTATTCATATATTGTGATAAAAAAGTACTTTAATTAAATTTTGAATGCAACTAAAGCATTGTAACATACACAGAAAGTGTTAATTATTGATCACTTCACAGCAAGATGTTAAAATTAAATTATGTTCCAAATGAAATAACTGTACAATCTCTTTTGTACCATCTTGTATATGCAAAATGAAACATTTTTTTGATCCAAGAAGAGCTGATTACAAAATATTAAAATTTCCCACATTTTAGAATAAATGGTATTTTTCTGTGAAGCTTTTAACATATGTTAGATAAGGTATAAACTGTAATAAACGGAAATATACATTTTTTAATCAACTCATTTCAAGGAAATATCAAACAAGTTACATTTGTTTAAGGAGTTGTTTAAAATGTTTTTATTAAAGCTGTAAGCTTTCCACCAAAAAGTGTCAATTTAGACCATCGGACTCAGTTCACAGAATTCTTTTAAGGCTATGAATTTATCATTATACAATAAGCAAGGAAAACTCCAGTAAATGTTTATAAACAGAATTTTTTAAAATCTTTATAAGTAATCAAATTACTTCATAACACAACTAATGAGCAAGATTTCACTCTTTAAATAATGAAAAAAACCTGCTTACATGTTCTGCATGTTGGAATCTTGCATGAGTTGTGTGGCCTGGAAATAATTAAATGGGATATAAGTATGAACTTAAAAATGCAACAGTGATAAACCTATATACATCTTCATTGGAGGTATTAGTTTAAGATTTCAATTTAGCACTCTCACTTTATAATTCACTTAAGATGACAGAGAGGCCCGCACTTATGTTTTCACCACACTTGCACAGTCATATTTTTGTATGACAGGTAAAACCAACTAACTTGTGTGACTATAACTGACAGATTATACATAACAGCACGGTAACAACAGATATGAGCAGCGACTAACAAATAATAATACTGAAGACCCATAAAAAATTTATCGTTGTGGCTATTAAAATCAATAAGGACTACGATAAGCTGGTTGTTTCCTAAACCAAACAATTCAGTCTGGTAATGTATGGAACTACTACCTATTCTAAGATCATATAATGTGGTGCAAGATGAAGCTATGTGGTCACTCTGTAACCAGTGTACAAACTGTCTAATCACATAACAGGTTCATTTTGTATTATCAGGCAGTATATTGTCTATATAAGGATGGCTCGGATTGTTCATCAAAATGGTATTTTAAATATCTCCTCAATAGGTTACCTGAACTTTACAATACCATGCAGTGTTTCCTTTTATAACAATATCTTCGTAATGACTGAGTCACAAGTTTGGGGAATGTCTTTAAGTATCATAGCAAAAAAAGTTTGAATTTCTTGTTCTTCTGCTTATTTTTTTATTACATTATAACTTAAAAACCAAAACAATGATGTCAACCAATTTCACTAAGGTGACAGTTTAAAATGGAGTATCTGCGTTTATAAGTGTTATTAATAACTAGTAGTAATTTAAAAAAATCATAATTCTAGAATAAACAATATTATCATTACCCCTTTAAGTTAGCTTTTTTACAGAAATTTGGTGTTCCTTTAAAAAGCTTAAGTACCATCTAATGATAAACAATAAATATTACAGTTGGAGCCTCATTGTATTTAGAACTTGTCTGTATCTATTGAAACACGGCACAGGAAAGAATTAACATATAGCAATATATTTAACTATTCAATCACAAATGAGTTTAATTTATCCTATTTTTGTCTGTTGATATTCTACTATACTGTGTGCCTGTGCTATTATGTAGGAATGATGCAAATGCCATCCTAAGAAATAGCCATCCCTACATTTACTTCTCTTTTTGAAATTTCTTTTTTTAACTTTTCTATATTTACATCACTTTTGAAATACAGTCATATAGATTAAATTATAATTCCTTTATAGAAAGTATAAAAGTCATAAAACGTGTCAGTATTTGAACATCTTTTTACATGATGCATATAGATAATTATACAAGTAGAAAATAAACATAAAACAATAAATATTTTCTGAAATAAAGCTTGTAAAAACTTTTGTTACCATGTTCATCAATGTTGGGTTAGTCAGTAAGCTAGAGAAATTTAGGGATGTATTTGGTACATTTCCACTAGCTTCTCCAGTCTGGGCACCCTACAAGAAACAAAAACGAAAAATTCAAGCCATTACTCAAGAAAATAAAATAAAGTAAATACATGCTGACATTACCTAATAAACGTGTAAACTTGGTTGTTTGTTTATTGAACTTTGTGCAAAGCTAATCGAGGGCTATTTGCACTAGCTATCCATAATTTTGAAGTTAGAAAAACACGTAGCTTCAAGAAACCTTGATAGAAATGAATAAAAACCCTATAACCCGAGCACTTTCGAAAGGTCCACCTATAGGGTTTTCATTCATCCCTAATTTTGAAGTGACAGACTAGAAGGATTACAGCTAATCAATTCCATCTACTGCCAATTCATGGGCTATTATTGTCAGACCAAATAGAAGAATTTGACTCCTATTCTTATAATGCACCTATGGCCTTTCGAAAGTGCTCGGGTTATAGGGTTTTCATTCAGCCCTAATTTTGAAGTGACAGACTAGAAGGATTACAGCTAATCAATTCCATCTACTGCCAATTCATGGGCTATTATTGTCAGACCAAATAGTAGAATTTGACTCCTACTCTTATAATGCACCTATGGCCCCATTGCACCAAGAATTATTTTTTTTCTGCAGTAATGGGGCATAAACTACACAACCTCAGATCCACAATCTACCATGCTAATCAATGGACAATATTTGGTCCAAAATATCTATATAAACATTTATACTTTTATTTGTCCCCACTGCACAATTCTTACACTTTCATACCTTTATCTTAAACAAACTGTTGTCAAACGTAGCTACCAGAAAGAAAAACCTTGTAAGAACTACCAAAAGAATACAGTAGTTTCTATACTCACACAAAAAAATAATTATATTAAAATGAAACTTTTGTTTTAAGACATGAATTGCTAATTTACTGTCCATTAGTGAGAATGCAATAAATTAAATAATTTCAAAGAACAAATATAAAAAATAATAATAACAGCCCTAAATATGTGGGTTATTTTTGTTATTGATTTCTTCAGCCATTTTACTGGGTTTTGAAACAGTGTTTTTGGCTCCATTCTGAGTCATTGTTTGAGGGAATAATAGGGCTATTAGTCTTGTGATCACAAAGTGTGCAATAGAATGATGAGTATCAAAGTTATTTATTATAAAATCTCACATTCAACAATACATAAAACTAGTAATTTAAGAAACCTTAGTATCAATTTGCTGCATGTTACTGACAGAAATTAATCCAAAGAAAATAAACAAGTCAAATTAAGACAATAGGGATGTCCTACATATCATGTTTTTATTGTTATATAACAACGATTCACACATTTAAGAATAATGTATTTTTTAAAACATACTCTTTCTATAACATTCACACAACTGTCCTGGATACATGGAATACTAGACATTCATATTACTTACTTTTATTACCATTCACTACAAGTAAAGGTCCACACATATTGCATCATATTGAGTAATTTTATGTTTTTCCCAGTTACAACAATCATTAAAAGGAACTGACAATAAACAGAAAACAGTAAAAGTAATTGGTGGAATTAATTACAATATTGACAGTATTCTTGTTTATAAATATTTTGTGTGACTCGTATTATTAGGGACCTTATAATCAACAAAGTCATGGATCCATAAATAAGTTGGTTCACAAATAGTTTAAAAAAATGTGATTAGAAAATCTGGCAAAGACCAATATGTACACCATTAGTAATTTTATAGTCAAACACAAGTATGTCACTCTGTTATGCCTAAAAGCACAAGCACAGAAGGAAAAAAATACTAAGTTCTAATAACTAAAATATAAATAACTTTCATAGAATGTTTCCATTTTCATCAATAACCTATATTTTCTAAATTTGTTTTCCTCATCCTAAGTATTTTATAATTGTTGCTCTTAAGCCTTGAACCATTTTGGTATGAGCAGATGTGGCAAATTAACAATCTTTTTAACCTATTTTTAAGGTACCATATAAAAAGATTCAGGTATTTCTTTTCACGTCATGGCTGTTAGGCTTCCATTTCAATCAAGTGTATAAAATCAAATAATAGCAAAAAAGTAATAGCTAAATCTGAAAACATTATATAATTACTACACAAAATACAAGCAAAAGAAATTAATAGCTAAATCTGAAAACATTATATAATTACTACACAAACTATAAGAAAAGAAAGTAGCAGTTAAATCAGAAAACATTATATAATTACTACACAAAATACAAGAAAAGAAAGTAATAGCTAAATCTGAAAACATTATATAATTACTACACAAAATACAAGCAAAAGAAATTAATAGCTAAATCTGAAAACATTATATAATTACTACACAAACTACAAGCAAAGAAAGTAACAGCTAAATCTGAAAACATTATATAATTACTACACAAAATACAAGCAAAGAAAGTAACAGCTAAATCTGAAAACATTATATAATTACTATACAAAATACAAGCAAAGAAAGTAACAGCTAAATCTGAAAAGATTATATAATTACTATACAAAATACAAGCAAAGAAAGTAATATTTAAATCTGAAAGCATAATTACGACACACAATACAAGCAAAGAAAGTAACAGCTAAATTTGAAAATGTAATTACCTCACTGTAATGCTGCATGTGGTTGACTAATGCTGCATGTTGGTGGCTGTAATGTTGCATGTTGATGGCTGTAATGCTGCATGTTGATGGCTGTAATGCTGCATGTTGATGGCTGCAATGCTGCATGTCGATGGCTGTAATGCTGCATGTCGATGGCTGTAATGCTGCATGTTGATGGCTGTAATGCTGCATGTTGATGGCTGTAATGCTGCATTGTTGATGGCTGTAATGCTGCATGTTGATGGCTGTAATGCTGCATGTTGATGGCTGTAATGCTGCATGTTGATGACTGTAATGCTGCATGTTGATGACTGTAATGTTGCATGTAGATGACTGTAATGCTGAATGATGATGGCTGTAACGCTGCATGATGATGACTGTAATGCTGCATGCCGATGACTGTAATGCTTCATGCCGATGACTGTAATGCTTCATGCCGATGACTGTAATGCTGCATGCCAATGACTGTAATGCTGCATGTTGATGACTAATGCTGCATGTCGATCACTAATGCCGCATGTCTATGGCTGTAATGCTGCATGTCGATGACTAATACTACATGTTGATGACTGTAATGCTGATGACTGTAATGCTGCATGTTGATAACTAATGCTGCATGTCAATCACTAATGCTGCATGTCTATGACTGTAATGCTGCATGTCAATCGCTAATGCTGCATGTTGATGGCTGTAATGCTGCATGTTGATGATTAATACTACATGTCGATGGCTGTAATACTACATGTCGATGGCTGTAATACTACACGTTGATGACTGTTATGCTGCATGTTGATGACTAATGCTGCATGTCGATGACTGTAATGCTGCATGTCGATGACTGTAATGCTGCATGTCGATGACTGTAATGCTGCATGTCGATGACTAATGCTGCATGTCGATGACTAATGCTGCATGTCGATGACTAATGCTGCATGTCGATGGCTGTAAAGCTGCATGTTGATGGCTGTATTACTACATGTTGATGGCTGTAATGCTGCATGCTGATAACATACTATATGTTGATGACTGTATTGCTGCATGTTGATGGCTGTAATGCTCCATGTCGATGGCTGTAATGCCATATGTGAATCACTAATGCTGCATGTTGATGACTGTAATGCTGCATGTTGATGATTAATACTACATGTTGATGGCTGTAATGCTGCATGTCGATGGCTGTAATGCTGCATGTCGATGGCTGTAATGCTGCATGTCGATGGCTGTAATGCTGCATGCTGATGATTGCAATGCTGCATGTCGATGACTGTAATGCTGCATGTCGATGACTGTAATGCTGCATGTCGATGACTGTAATACTGCATGTCGATGACTGTAATACTACATGTCGATGACTGTAATACTACATGTCGATGACTTTAATACTACATGTTGATGACTGTAATGCTACATGTTGATGGCTGTAATGCTGCATGTTGATGATTAATACTACATGTCGATGGCTGTAATACTACATGTCGGTGGCTGTAATACTACATGTTGATGACTAATGCTGCATGCTGATGATTGCAATGCTGCATGTCGATGAATGTAATGCTGCATGTCGATGACTGTAATGCTGCATGTCGGTGGCTGTAATGCTGCATTTTGGTGGCTGTAATGCTGCATGTTGATGATTAATACTACATGTCGATGGCTGTAGTGCTGCATGTTGGTGGCTGTAGTGCTGCATGTTGATGGCTGTAATGCTGCATGTTGATGGCTGTAATGCTGCATGTTGATGGCTGTAATGCTGTAGATAGCAGTATCCTTCAATGGTTTGGTTAGGTGATGCCACAATGTTTCAATGTGATTGACCAATAGTGACATGGGTGGCACTCATGTCCTGAGAACATAACATTATAGAAATTAGATATATATATATATATATATATAACACTATAATCTCTTAGACAGCTTGCTTTCAAGCTCAAGCCCTCAGTTTGATACATGAAATTTATCTTCTTTCTGTAGACAGTAATACCCTCCTAAAGTTTACCCTGTAACATTAACTAATTCTTATTAAACATCTTTATAGGTTTTTAAGAGGGTTTAGAGCAATAACCATCAAGTAAAGGTGCTGTTCTTTGTCCTATGTACTTATTAAACTTTTATTGTTTCCAAGTGTAGATAAAGATTGTTTTGACTGTGCTTGATTTACATTGGGCCTAGCCTCTTAGTTTCTCAAATTCAGTCAAAGTCAGAGAATTCAGAATTACTTTGTAACAAATATCTTGTGGAAACTTCTGTTACTCTGTGGACCTAATCCATTGCTATAAGGGAAATCAATTTCAACTGAATGTACCAAAGTGGGCTCAGGTATGTACAGACATGTTCAACAAATGATAAAAAGATGTTCTTGTTGGAACTCCACCATGTCAAGATATCTTTGTCCTCCTTTATTCTTACAAGACTTTGATAAGTATCAAAGGCCACAGTGAATTACAAGTTATCAGTATAAGTCAATACTTGTTTCAAACTGGGGGAGGTTAAATGTTCAATCTTTGCAAAAGGTCCTGAAATTTAAAGGCTGATAACTCCTGATTAAAACTTCTTGAATCAAAAAATCACCAAGCTTAAATGGATCCTGGATAAATGGAGATATACAAGTTACACATGTAAAACCTACTGCTGATCCTTGAGGATTTTCCTTCAGCCTCTCTTCTGCTACCCGAAGGTTGGTAATATAGCTCTCATTATGAGGATCAAGGTCTACTGCCTTTTTGTAACAGTCCCGAGCACGAGCATGTTGATCTAAACTAGCGAATGCTAACCTGGACACAAAAGAAAATTCGTTTTTAACTGTTATGATTACACACACATTGTGTATTATCATGCATTACATTCATTAGAGAAAAACATTAGATTTGAAGGTTTTCATATGTAGGAAAGAAAATAAATATTTTATCATATACTGAAAATAACTTACTATGCACTTTATATAAATTAAATTTCTTTTAATGTTTGTTTGCACAGCACAGCATTTTGTTACCAGTTAAAATAATTACACATAGTTACATCTATTGCTAATCCAATGATTTTGAACTCAACGAACATATGTTATTATGATCTGTAACAAAATAAATGCTTGGAAAGTCCCTTTTTAAGACAAGCAATTCTTTGGCTAATAAACTAGTTGAAATGAAAAATGTGCTACATTCTTTTTAACACAAGTATGTATTTAACCTTTTTCCAGTCATGAGTTTGGAAATTTAACAGGAGCAAAATGTTATGATGTGAGAAAATACATTTAGTCTATCCACTCAAACTGCCTTCAAAATAAAATCATAACTCAAATGTTGAGATTTCAATTTTTTTGACACGAGTTTTAATAACATTTTTTTGAATAAATTAAATCAAAACTACTCTACTAGCCACAATTTTCAATTTTTGTCCCTTATTGTAATTATAATTGTTAAATTTCCAGCAGTATAAATACATGTCAGTGGATGAAAGTAAAGTGCAAATCTATAAAATTTACACCCACTTGAGGCTTATTTTTAACTCAAATAGTTTGAAAATAGTGAAGTTTTTAAGTTGGTGACATCAAGAACTGTAAAAGTAAACTATCTGCATGTTTTGTTTCACAATTTTCTACTTTCTAAAGCTAAGAAAATGGTAAATATAGTTTCTGAAAACAGAAAATTTTCTTTCTCACAATCTATTCTCTGTAAATTTCCTTCTCTTGAATAGTTACACTACATTGTAAAGTTATATAAATTTTTTACTGTACCTAAAGGCACGTGGGATTTTGTCTTTTAATTTATTAATGGTTTTCTATTACTTGTTTGTATTACCAGTACGGTAATACACTAACTTGACGAGTTCCTTCTATGTTTATTTATCTTACATAAGTAACTGCTTTGGCAGATAATTTTCTGTTTACAAGAACTCCAGAGTTCTGTAACTTATAATAAACTAATTTGATGAGTTCCTTCTATGTTTACTTATCTTATATAAGTAATTCCTTTGGCAGATAATTTTCTGTTTACAAGAACTACAGAGTTCTGTAACTTATAATAAACTAATTTGATGAGTTCCTCATATGTTTATTTATCTTACATAAGTAATTCCTTTGGCAGATAATTTTCTGTTTACAACAACTCCCAAGTTCTGTAATTTGAAGCCACCATGAATACTAACTTTTTATTTTGCCCCTTAGGCAAAGATAGACATTATTAGACAACCCGTGACCCATTGGGTTACCCACTATTCAGAGGTAATGAAGAATTTAAGCTAATTTCAATCTTGCACCGAAATGAAGGTTTATTTTGAGATAATTTAACTAAATATTTCAATCCATTCATATTATTCATAATTCAAGAAAAGATATCTGATTGTTGATCTGGAGTAAAAGTAAAGACCATTTCATTTTTCAAAAAGTGAAATCATAGTTTTCAGATATTGTG